GTCAAAAAAGCGCTATATAAAACCAATTTATTATCAGTGTTATCTCTCTATAGTCATGTAGTTTAGTTTCACACAATCTCTCACTTGCTTTTCTGTTTTTAGTTTTCCCCATTTTGTGTGTGTGTGTGTGTAGTTGTGAAGTGCATGAGCGTGCCCGTAAGATGGCACATACAACATGCACACAAGCACACAGTAGGACTGGAGCCCACTGCTGCTGGCTATTTTGCAGGTTGGATCCACACCAATGCTTTCACTGACTGCACTATTGTTATTCAAATGTGGAAGGGCGATCAGCTAGCATTAATGGCATCCGCAGCAGCAGCTCTCCACGCACACACACATGCACACACACGCACACACACACACACTACTTATAGACAGGCTCACGTGCACTGGCAGTCACACACTTTAAAGCAAACCTCATGGATGCACCTTTAGGGCTATATGAATAACAAATACCTCTGCCATCTGCAATACTACACAGTACTTCCAGCTATTTCGCATATTAGTCAGCAGTCCTTTGACTTATGCTTTCTCTACACATATACTCTAATAAGCAACGCTCTCTCCTTCCACGAAACACGGCGAGATGTATTTTCGATTGTTTGAGATGAGACTTTGTGTGACATTGACAGAATGACCTTGTCTTCTCAAGTTTAGTGCTGTAGGAGGGACTTAAGTCATTTGCGGCTATGTTTTGTTCTGTCAAGGCCAATCAGAGGCAACCTGGAATACTTGCGTTGAAGCTATCGTTTTAAACTGGCGAAGACCTCCCCCACCTCCTGACACCGGCAGACCAAATGGGATTAGACAGTTACCCCTGGCCATTAACACACAATCTTTACCTGTTTTCTCTTTCACGGAACAAAAACAAACAAGTTAAAACAACTTCTTTAGTACTTGTAGACTTGATTAATGTCTGAAAATGCGTTTTTCTATGTATAAATGTTGATCCACTGTTTTTGTTTTACAAGTTGATCTAAATTGCCTGAAGGAGTTATGGAATCTGACCTGCATGTTTTGGACTTTAGATTTTTCCTTCAAGCAGAAATTTTACAATCATAATTATTTACAATATTTACATTCCTCAGTTTACATGACCCTTTATACATGTGGCCTTCTGTGCTTCCACTATATACTTATACATGGAAATATATAAACATAACTATACAATCTAGAAACAATAGCTGCACTAGTGTCATCAATGTATATTTACAATTTGTCAGCTCGAAATGGAGCGGGAAGGAAGTAAAAACTTGTCGACTCCCACCCCGTAAACATAATTCAAATACATGTAAGAACTATATCTGCTATATCCCCAGAACTAAACTCCGTACAATGGGTGACAGGGCTTTCCAGGCGGCTGCTCCCAAACTGTGGAACGCCCTACCACCACACCTGAGGGCCCCACAGTCATTGGAGACCTTCAAAATAGGACTTGAAACTTTTCTTAACATTGTTTTAACATTGTTTTAACTTTAATGATGTGTGCTTTTATTGTTGTTGTTCTGTAGCACTTTGAGATTTGTATGTAAAGGGCTTTACAAATTAAAGGTATTATTATTATTATTATATCTGTAATACTACTATTCTTTATTCTTTCAAGACCTGAACGTGTTTGTTCTGACCCACATTGCTACTAGTATCAATATTCTTTTTTCTTTTTTTTTAGATCAATTTGTTGAATTTTTTATTTTTATTTAGTAATAATATTCTAAGCATCTATGTCATTAATATCTCAAGAATGTCGTTTCTGTTTTGATACTCAATGATTCACATATAAAAAGTGGAATTCTGAAATTCACTTCAATTCAATTACATTTATTCTTGTATATCCCTAAATCACAACAGTAGTTTTCTCAGAGGACTTTACACAACCGTGGAATTCGCCAACACAGATTAAGATTCAGTGATCCTTTATTTGTCCCGCAATGGGGACATTTCAGTGTTGCATCGCCAAAACATTAGGAATGAGGAGCACACAGCACAAGATAAATGAACAATAACTCCATAATAAATGCAATAAAAAGAATGAAGAAGTAACAAGTTTAAAACCTCTATCTTTAGCATAATAAGAAGCAAGTAAAAAGTACTCTTTTTCTAGTGTAAGTATGGATCAGAGAAAAGACAAGAAATAAAACAAACAAATTGGTATTGGTCCAGATGGGGCAGATGACCAGTGTCCAGAAGTGTTAATAAATGTCCATAAATGTTGGAAGAACTCAAAGATAAACCGGGTTGTAGGTGCGAGAGATGGCTTCTGCCTTTTGTGTCATTTTTCGACATAACTTATTACTACAACACATTCCTCGATGGTCCTTATGTGCAGCAACTTACGGTTTAGTCTGAATCCCTCATAACTATAAACCAGTACGGCTAATAGCATCACTTATGCGCTGTTATTTCTGTCCATTACGGCTGCATTGGCCCCGGGTCCCAGTCCTCAGCACTGACACGCGACTGGGTGTGTTTTTTGTGTGTGTCCAGGAGTTCATTTGTGTGCATCGGCGAGGCTGTGCTGAAGATGCTTGTCAGTACTGATCCCATTTTCATTACTCACTGGCTCAAAGGAGGAGGTGAGGCCCTGGCCCGGCACAGTGATAAATGCATTACCCCAATAAGCCCTGTCTCCACCAAATGCTGACACTCAAACACACAGAGAGACATGCACACGGGGCGATAGAGCCATCAGTGGACGGAGAAGGTGAAGAGACAATCAAATAGGAAGAAGAAGACTGACAGGTAAAGATAGATGAGAGCGTGAGGCAGGACGAAAAACCCCCAAAAAACAGAGAGTGAGAAGACGGGTGTAAGTGACACCTGACATGGAGGAAGAGTCACTCTAAAGAAACTAGACAGGGACTGAGGCAAGCTGCTAATGGGAGGATGCATGGACTACAGATGGAGCCACCAACCCTAACCTTTCATTTTCAAGGAGTGGGTTTCCATAAATTACTGTAGGGGTCAGAGGAGAAGACATCAGGTACAGCTGTGTGCATACGTTAAATATCTAAAGAATTACAATATTTCAAATTCAAAACTACATCTAAAATGCTGCAGCCAGGAAGGAGTTCTGTTCATGCACAAATATATCTATATATAAAACTCAATTCAACTTTAAATTCACTTGCAAATATTAAACTAACTTGCTTTCTCCTTTGTACTAAATTAAAGAATGAGCTCAATAAGCTATGGGGTAACTCAGTTGGACCTACTGGTTGTGGGTTTGATTCCCCTACTCGAGACACCTGTCACCTATCCCACTGATGTCTACTGTTGTTGTGTCCCAGGGCAAAACACATCCTCCCCACCAACGGCAGAACCCAGAAATGGACCCATACACAATCGATCAAACTTGAATGCGAACCATAAAGAATATACACTGAGTAAATATAGGAAAATTGGTAAAAACTTTGTGTATTTAAATATGAAGGATCTGAAAGTATTTGTCACACGTTTTCACAAAAAGTACATTTGGATAAGATCATTGATAACATGTTGTACTTCATATAACTCCATGTGTGATGAATCTATACAAAAACAGTTTAACTATGGAAAAACAATTCTTGTGGTTGTCTGAGTAGAGACTAATTAGATAATATATTATTTTTCAATCTGTTACTTAGTCAATTATTTGGAATTAGTCAATAAACTTGATTTCAGCTAGATTTTAGACTGGAAGTGAAAGTAGTGATATTTCTCAAAGCTGCGTTATTGGTTATTTATAGAAATGCACCGATGCATGGGCTGAAAATTGGTATCGGAGCTGATGGAAAATTATTGAACACAACAAATCTCTCTGGACGTTTAAAGCTGCACTAACTGACTTTGGGATTTTGAAGCCGTGGACTCGCTGGCCTCTCTCTTTCTGCTCCCCTCCTCGCACCCACGAAGCTATCGCCCCCCACACACACCCACTGTTGGGACAGAGATGGCGTGACCATAGAACGATAGAACCGGGAAGCGCGGAGGAACGAGACTTTCTTTTGGATGGCTGTCTTGCTGTGTAAGCAGTAACCGGTGACGAAGACGAGGAAGTTTCAGGTTAGCTCCTCGGCTTGTTGTGCTAACTCAGCCGTCTATGCTAACGGACCTGTAGATTTCTCACGAAAGTGGGGGCCAGTGGTTCGCTGTGATTGGTCACAATCTGCGACCCGAAACACATTCTCTTCCTTGTTTCATCAAAACTCGATCTAAAATATAATGTCACGCCAGCAAAAATCTGCACTACTTTTTATTCAAAAGGACGTATATCCCAATGCCCTACACGGACATGGATAGCATTTTAGTAATGAATACAAAAATAAAGTCAGTTAGTGCAGCTTTAAGAAGCAAGAGGCGGTGACAGCGATTGCATGAAGCTGAAGGAAAACAAAAAACTGAAGCCGTCGAGAAATGTGTATATATAGATGTAAATAACAAAAAGAAAAAACATTGACCAAACATCTTCCATCGGCAAAATTGTTAAGTTAATTGTTTTGTTATCGTATCGGCCAAAAATGTCACAATCGCTGCCTCCCTAGTCATGTCATAATGGGAAGAGTTAAATCAATAATAAGTTACATCAATTATAAGTGTGTGGTTTTAACAGTGCATGCTCTCTCCTTCATTTGCAGCCGCCCACCTCTGTAATGAGGTGAGGCCGAGTGGACCGTTCCCACACACCCAGTCATCTACTACACACGGGTCAGCTGCTCCCTCATTAGCTGCCATCACGGTGACATCACAGGCAAAAGTTCGCCCGTGCAAATTGAAAACATTAGGTTCACATCGGTTCAAATGAGAACATCAGTGCAGTGTGGGCAGAGATGCTTTAAACCGTGCTTTAATCACTCCGTATTCTGTATGAATGAGCCGTGAGGAGGAGTGTGGGGGAAAAGAGGGAGATATAAGGGGCAGGGAGTCAAGGGGACTGACCTGACGACTGAGGGGGGAGTCGCCAACCCACGTGCGCCACATAATGAAAGGTTGAACTTCTAGTGGCCAGGGTGGCATACCAAATGAACCAGGGCTTGGGCGTCACAAGGAGGAGGAAGGGAAAACAACAGGTGACCCCCATAGCCAAAGAGGAGGAGGCAGCCAGACTTAACGAGGGACGGTGCGGTGGGGTCTGCCTGGTTCTGCGCTTGTACCTATCCCCTGCTCAGACACAGAGCGAGAAAGAGAGAGAGAGAGAGAGAAAGGCCCCCGCTCCGGTGCTGCCACGGGGGCCTGAGTGACAGAAATTAATAATTAGTGACAATGATTGACAGCGCTCGCTCCATCTGCGCCTCCCAACGCCGGCGACCGCGGGCACAATGAGCTCCGGAGGGATTGTGGGAGACGCGCTTGATTGACAACTGCCTCCTGGAGAGACGGAGCCGAGGGGAGGGGGAGAGAAGGCAGGAGAGTGAATGAGAATAGGAGGGGAGAGGTGGGTGACAAGGGGGCAAAGGGGGACTGCGGGTTAGAAAGATGGACAGAGCTTTTTTTTCCTCTGCAGCCTGCGAGATTCAATAAGGAATGGCTGCTTTCCACGAGCCGCTGTCCTCTCCTCTATTGCCGTCCACACTTTTCCTCCATCATATCTCGCCATCGCATTTCCGCCGTTGGACCGTAGAGCGCCATTATGCAAAAGTGACAAATTTCGCAGAGATAAATAAAGGAATTGGAGAGGAGTTTAAGGCCTGGGCTTTCGTGGAAGAGGTGGAAGAGCTCGCGAATAGTCATCAGCCAAGGATTTGTTTCTCGTCCGATCTCCCCTTTTCTACACCACCATAACCTTTCCCAAAAATTTCGATCTTGAGTCGATAGATGGATTGATACTTTATTGATCCCGTTTAGGAGAAGTTCAGGTGTCCAGTAGCAGAAAAAAACACCAGAAAAAACACAAATATCGATATCTCCCTTCACTTCATGTTCCAAAGCTGAGAATTTCTGCTTTTCTATGTAAAAAAAATGCACTCCATGTCCAAACAATTTGAGTTGATTCTGGAAGTTTCCATTTTGAAATGAAAAACACTGGAAATAAATCATAAATCATTATTACGGTACTGTGAGAATAACGCAAAAAGTATGATATATTTATGACATATTACTATACTTTATTACTGCATAATGTTATCCTTACTTCAGGAAATATTTGTTTTCTGGCATGTTATGGGGCTACTCAGTGATTATACAAATATCTAGTTATAGATTTGTTGTTGACAAAACTCTACTTATCTATTATGGTCCGAGCTGGATTTGTCTACATATCTGGCAACCTGAGTCAGGGAGAGTGGGAGAGGACTACAGAATATTGGCAGCGATTGCAGTACCACTTTTGGTCAGATTTTTATATATTGCTCCTTTTATGTCCTATTCATTGTGTATAATCACTTTCAGGGGCTTTGTCGGCTGGTCTGGAGCCTGCTGCCCTGCACTGGAGGACGCTCACTGCAACTTGGACACATCTGGACCGCAGGTAATGTTGGGCAATCCACTTTAATCGGCCCACTGCGGTCCAGGGCTGCTGTAATGCCCTGTAACGAAGGGCCGTGTTTACCTGAGGGTCTCCCATAGAACAGGTCGCTCAGAGTGTAATTCAGTGGGGAGTTCGGTTCACATACTAACTCTGTATTGATCCCCCCCTCGTCCAAACAGCCCTGTGTGTTGTCGCTGGGGCCTGTCGCTTTACGTTTTAGTATTAAGGTCATGGCCTCTAGTCGAGCACTGGCTGCACATTTCAACACAAACCAGAGATTCTTAATTCTAGGCATCATGTACGGGATAATCTATAGTACGAAGGTCATTATGTTTGCTGCGTGTCGGGGTCCGCTTCGCCCTGTTGGTACTTATTTTCTGATTATGACCTGCCTACTATACATTATCCCGCTTATTATACGGCTTTGTACCAACAGAACACACAACATAAACTTCAGTCCACTCTTAGGAATAACAAAATGTTTATTTAATGACTGAAAATAAAATAGTTCTTTAAGGCTTTCCCGTGGCTAGGCTAGTCACAGTTAGGCTAGAAACAGTTAGGCTAGCAACAGTTAGGCTAGTAACAGTTAGGCTAGCAACAGTTAGGCTAGTAACAGTTAGGCTAGTAACAGTTAGGCTAGTAACAGTTAGGCTAGTAACAGTTAGGCTAGTAACAGTTAGGCTAGTAACAGTTAGGCTAGTAACAGTTAGGCTAGTAACAGTTAGGCTAGTAACAGTTAGGCTAGTAACAGTTAGGCTAGCAACAGTTAGGCGAGTAACAGTTAGGCTAGTAACAGTTAGGCTAGTAAAAGTTAGGCTAGTAACAGTTAGGCTAGAAACAGTTAGGCTAGTAACAGTTAGGCTAGAAACAGTTAGGTTAGAAACAGTTAGGTGAGTAACAGTTAGGCTAGTAACAGTTAGGCTAGTAACAGTTAGGCTAGTAACAGTTAGGTTAGAAACAGTTAGGCTAGAAACAGTTAGGTGAGTAACAGTTAGGCTAGTAACAGTTAGACTAGTAACAGTTAGGCTAGTAACAGTTAGGCTAGTAACAGTTAGGCTAGTAACAGTTAGGCTAGTAACAGTTAGGCTAGTAACAGTTAGGCTAGTAACAGTTAGGCTAGAAACAGTTAGGCTAGTAACAGTTAGGCTAGTAACAGTTAGGCTAGAAACAGTTAGGCTAGTAACAGTTAGGCTAGTAACAGTTAGGCTAGTAACAGTTAGGCTAGTAACAGTTAGGCTAGTAACAGTTAGGCTAGAAACAGTTAGGCTAGAAACAGTTAGGCTAGTAACAGTTAGGCTAGAAACAGTTAGGCTAGTAACAGTTAGGCTAGTAACAGTTAGACTAGTAACAGTTAGGCTAGAAACAGTTAGGCTAGTAACAGTTAGGCTAGTAACAGTTAGGCTAGTAACAGTTAGGCTAGTAACAGTTAGACTAGTAACAGTTAGACTAGTAACAGTTAGACTAGTAACAGTTAGACTAGTAACAGTTAGGCGAGTAACAGTTAGACTAGTAACAGTTAGGCTAGTAACAGTTAGGCTAGTAACAGTTAGGCTAGTAACAGTTAGGCTAGTAACAGTTAGACTAGTAACAGTTAGGCTAGTAACAGTTAGGCTAGTAACAGTTAGGCTAGTAACAGTTAGACTAGTAACAGTTAGGCTAGTAACTTCCAAACTAGAACGCTCTGGAACTGCATGAAAACTGAACAAAGAATTGTGAACATCAGCGGTGAGTGACCCAAACATAAACTTAACTTAAATCCATAATTCGATCTTCTGCAAATGTTCCTAAAATGTCCCCGAATCTACTTCCGGGTTTATAATTGCCTTTTCTCGCATTAAAACAGTATTTTTGTCATGAAAACATAAACAGATAACTCTGAAAACCTCTGTGCACATGTATTAAGACTGTATATGTATGTTGTTTCTCCCATTAACATTTAAATGTGTTGATTGATTGAATCATTGAGGTCAGTTATGAAGAAATAATGACGGGTAGAACGTTTTGAAATAACATTCAAATCAATGGAGCGTGTAATAATTTGACATAACTGATGCATGGGAACGGGACATTACAGTGTTTGTCACGATAATACAGGTTGAGAATTAAGTATGTTTTCTATGTTGCTGAATTAGTGACATGTGATCAAATGTCCAGGTATAACAGTATTCAATGAAGTTATATTTATATATTTATTTAGAGATCACCAATGCATTACATTTTGTGTATATCTTTGCATCTGTGTAATAATTAATACTTTTATTTTGACTTGAGTGCTATAATGACCAGTCATAAAGTCATAAAACCTCTTCTCTGCATGTTTAACATTTAAAAAGTGATTAATCGTTCGCTAGATTAGTAATATCTCAATAATGGATTAGTTGTGATTAATTGATTTGACTTGTCATAGTCCTCGTTTACAATAAAACCGCTCACTGCTGTTTTTTGTCTCTGAGCTTAAAAAAGTGGAGGATTTGAACAAAATGCTCTACGTCAGAGTGAACAGGCAGAGGGCTTTACTTCTTCACTAAGTTTCAGATTATACCAGTGATAGTGACTTGCTTTATACATTTTGTGGTCTCACAGGACGTCTGTAATCGGCCAATAATGTAAATACATTTCCAGCAACAAGCAATTCTGCTGCTGAATATATAAAAATATAAAAATCATAATCATGTATATATTATATATCACCCTTGTAGAAACCCATACAGTTATGTATCTGTAAGTGTTGTGATGTCATCATTAAGCCAATGATTGAAATGATAAAATCATATCATCTCGAGCCAACGGATGAAGTAAAGAAGCCCGTTTCATGAAACAGTTTATTATCGTGATTGTGGAGCAGAGTCGTGGCTCTGCATCCGTTTTATTCTACGGTTTTCACAGTTCACTTAAGTCCTTGAAGGTTTCTTGCCTAACCCTGCTGAGGCTTCGAACTTTGTTGCAACTCTTAACAAACACTGCACATGCACCAAACAGACGGCACAGGGCACGTGGAGCTGACAGCTGGTAACTGCGGGGCCCAGCAGGTGCAGAGTGTGTGATGGCCCCAGAGGGCCCCTGACTCACGGCCAGAGCGGCTCAGAGGTTGTGGATGCAGGAGCGGCTGACTCGCCTGCAGTGGACTTCACTTCAGCTCCTGTGATTGATTGGAATGGGCCCGGACATGGGCCGATGTGTTGCCTTTGGTCTTTACCTTTGACTACCTGCATTACATCAATACTTTTCTTTTTCCTGTTTTCCAGTTTGTTCAATTTAATCTGGATTTTCTAACAATATGTGTTATGCCAACACTAAAAACGTATTTATTGTAATAAAACTAAAATAAATATAGATGTTTCACCTCTGCCATAGTTTGTTAAAGACCAGTGCACCCTTGTGAACCAGCGTTTACCATAAAACCAGAGTACCATGTGTGTCTCCATACCAGTCGCCTGCCTCTGGCACTAGTGCCATCTTGAAAGAGGTGCAGCACGCACCTGGCCCGCCGGCTGCTCTTTGGTCTGTCTCACCTTTTGTCAGCACCATGTTAATGAAGGCCCTGTCAGTGTCCACCGCTCGCACACTGGGGGGTCTTTTAATGAGTTTGCTATTTGATCACTACACCCGGCATGAGATGTGCTTTTCTATTCCTTCTGGACTTTGCTTCTCGGTGGCTGTGGTCTTGTGTGTGTCTGTGACTAAAAGGGGAGGGCTGCTCCAAGAAGGGGCTGGTCAGATGATTAGGACTAGTTTCCAATAAAAAGGGGAGGGTGGTTGCTTTTTAAAATAGAAAAGAAAAGAAAATTATTATTTTTATTCCCTCCTCCCACCATACCCAAGTGAGCCATGGCTCTCTTTTCAGGGGTAGATGAAAGCAGATGGGCGCAGGGCTTCCAACAAAAAGTGCCAAGCGATCACAAACAAACCTTCAGATGAATCACATCAAAGGCGCTGCCCCAATTGTTAGCCCTCTCGTATCTGCGGAAAATTGGCTCATTAAGGGCAAAAATGACATTGTTTACATTAGCCTGGGCCCTGATTAGTGCCAGCCATGTTTGTTGTGTTGCTCTGCTGTCCGCTTACCAACAGGCCACTTCAACCCCTCTGCACAATCGCCCCTTTGAAGGCTTTCTTTTCTCTGTAAAATAGGAGGTAAAAAGAGTGTGGCCAGCAATAAAAAAGAAAAGAAACGAGACAGAGGCTAAAATGCCCTGTACACAGATACACAATCACATGTAATCACTGCCGTCCCGCACAAATGAACATGATAGTAGCCTCTCTGCTCATGGGCTCTTCTCTTTAGGACTAATTAGGTTGCTTATGGAAATGGAGACTATAGGATGGGACAGTGATAAGTCTGTTTGTGCTGTAATTGCACTGATAAAGAGCTAGTGTTATTGGCGGCAAAGAAAAGAAAGAAGGAGCTTGACAATGAAAGGGCCCCAGGCTCTTCTCTGTGCCGACGGTCACGTCTCTGAAAAGAACACCTTTTGTGGAGCCGAGCTTTTGTAAACTCTGATTTGTAATGTGCGTGAAGTGCCTTGTGTTTTAGAGAGAGCTGTGCTTGTGTTTGATCCGGTGGATCTGAGGTGGAAGGGTCCTTCTATCATATCATAGCCACTTGAACTGCTTTTTCATTTTTCAGACTGTGTGAGTTCAATGATAAAAAGCAAAAGTGATAAATAAGAAAATACACTGTTAAAAGGTGCATTACTGTTTTTACTTGGATTAAACTAAATATTTTTGTTCAACAGTTTGTCATGAGATTGGAGGTGAGCAAGTGACTTCATTTCACTTTATCTATTGCTGTCTTGTTTGTCTTTGTCGTTTGATCTGGAAAAATATAAAATACTCTGGCCATAAAAGCACAGTCCAACGACACTGTTCTCACAAACAGCATCTGTTGTGCATTTGTTTACTTTAGTGAGGATCTGTGATTCTGTTACGATCCGACCTTGTTCTAAAGTCTCAGTCCCCGTTTCCTCTGGTTCTTGGTGAGCCTGCCTCACAGCCGTCTGTGACATCACAGAGAAAGAACCTCTGCTTGAGTAGTGACGCATGTTAAACTGTCGTGCAATGACAAAAATACATTGAATCTTTATATGGCGATAACTTTATTAGCAGGAAGCTCTGAAATTACAAATAGAAACATATTTATACAGATTTGCGCAACTGTTGCAACCTGGATTTGAGTAGAAGCCTGGCTCACATCAGGAAAACTTAAAAGGAGGATTTCCTACTTCTGGGTGGATCATCAAGACTATCGGTCCTCCTGTCAATCATTCTGGTGATACGTGCTCGTCAAAAAGTGGAAAGGACGGTTCTTTCCTAACATTTGGGAAAATCCTCCTTTTATATGTTGTTAAGATTAAAGTTGCATAAATCTGAAACGCTGCCTCCCCAAGTTTAGTCCTGACTCTGGGACTAAAGGAGGAGGAGTCCAGTCCCTGTGCTCCTCAGAGTTGGTTCATATCTCACTAACATGTCAGATGTAAGTAAGTAATCTTTAAGTAATCTTTATTTATATACCACCTTTTCACTGCAGATCTGAGTCTCAAAGCGGTTTACAATTGTAAATTTTTTTTTGGGCATTTGTCTCTCACTCCACACAGAGATGGGAGCAGGGTCACCAGTATAGGAGGCGCATGCCAGAACTATTGGACATATTTTTAGTGGTAGGGGAAACCGGAGTACCCGGAGGAAACCTACGCAGACACGGGGAGAACATGCAAACTCCACTCAGAAAGGCCCTGGTCCGACCGGGATTCGAACCCAGGACCTTCTTGCTGAGAGGCGAGAGTGCTATCCACTCAGCCACCGTGCCGATGTACTTTGGTTTGAGGCCATGGAGAGACTTGTAACAAACAGAGCTGATTTAAAGTATTTTCTCTGAGACCTGGACTAATGTGATGGTACTTTGTTGTTCCAGTCAGGACTCTAGCGTTTTGAATATACTACAGCTGCTTCCTAGTTTATATTAATGAGAATAATACAAACGCCCTGCACAAGAAGGGCCAAAGTCGCCTCTTCCTTCTGAGGAGGCTGAGGTCCTTCGGAGTGAGCAGGCCTCTGCTCAGGACTTTTTATGACTCTGTGGTAGCTTCTGCCATTTACTACGCTGCCGTGTGCTGGGCCCCGGGCAGCACAGAGCGGGACAGAAACAGACTGAACAAGCTGGTCAGGAGGAGGTGAGGGACAGGAGGCCCCTGGACTCTGTGGAGGAGGTGAGGGACAGGAGGCCCTGGACTCTGTGGTGAGGCCAGGTGCCACCTCCATCATGAACAATACCTCCCACTGCACAGGACTGTAGAGGAGCTGAGGAGCTCCTTCAGTGGAAGACTGAGGCACCCTCAGTGTAGGAAGGAGCGCTACCGCAGGGCCTTTATCCCCACCGCAATCAGACTGTACAATAAGTCACTTTAAATGATCACTGTGTGAAAACCTGCACTACTATTGACACTGTTTCCAATTGACACTTGTCACTTTTGTTGTACATAATTATTGTCACTTTTATTGCACATATATCCTGCATGTAACATGTTTGCACATTTCCTCCCTTTGCACAATCTGAGTGTCTCTATCCATGCCAAATGTGACATGTAAATTTCTCCTCTGTGAGATAAATAAAGCAATCTTATCTTATCTTAATAAATCACAGGAACGTAGGAGGTGTATTTGTTGTATTCGGACGCAACCGTGTTCAGATTATCCTTATGTCGGAGCTTAAAATCTCATGATCCTAAAACTCCTGTGGTCTGTACCCAGCTTTAGCAATGGAGTCATTTATTAGTCTTTCAAATGTAATGAAAGAAGTAAGAAGAAATCCATCCATAAGTAATAAACAATATCAAAAGTGTGAGTGGACACAATATATTTGGTGTATTCAAAAAGACGTGATTTTAAAAGCCAGACATTAACTTTTTTTCCCCCATAATCGTGCTTCCCTCAATTCACTGAAAGCTTCCATAGACAGGAAAGACCTCAGCCTCCTGAATTAAAGTGGAGACATTTAAATTCAGCAGGGGAGCTTTCATCTCTTCGAGCTCAGTGTGTCTGAATGAGAGAATGCATGGCAAAGAGAAGCCACTAAAACTTGCGAGTGAAAGTTGCGGTGGCAGGTGAGCAGGTCAGTCAGCTCGGCTAACGACAGCCAGTGACCCGGGCCTCTCCGCTCTCCCCGCTCTTACCCTTCACCTTGTGCCGCTCCCCAGGCCGCCTCACCTTTGCCCTGCGAGAGAAATGGAGTCTGAGACGGAAGGCGTGAGAAGTCCTCCCCCTCCACATAATGACATCCACTGTCCCGTCGCTGGCCCCTGGACACTCAGCCCCGTGGCCCCCAGGTCAGACCCACACATTATACCTCTGACTTGACATTTACATACCTATACACTTTTCTCACATTTATACTCTACTATACCTACACCCTGTAATACCGTACATCCTGAATAATGTCTCTTTTTGTCTCTCTTCTTTGCATTTCATCTTCACAGTCCACCTTTTCTGTGCCTTCTCCTGTATATTTGTTTCCGCGCGTGTGTAATAATTACCATTTAGAATACTTGCGACTCTCAGAGGGAGGGACCGCAGGTTTGCCCACGTTGAAGCTGGAAGGTGAGATGTTTGGTTTGTGTTGCCTGTCCTTGCCGTTTGGTGCTGAGAAATCAGAATTTCCTTGACCTTTGACCACGTTTGTCCCTCGGGGGGAGGTAGGGAAGGATGGAAGGGCATGAACTGACTCCATTTGCTCTTAAAGGACCCGTATGGAAAACTAGGATTGGGCAGCAGTAGTAGTAGTAGTAGTAGCAGTGGGGTAGGCTGGCTCAGACTGCTGCAAATATGTCAACACTTGCCATATTTGAACTTTTAAGTAAGTAGTAAGAGTATGTAGTTGTTATTTATGCTGCTCTTTTCACAGATCAGGGATCATACAAACTTGTGGAATATTAAATAGGACAGTTTTTTGTTATGATACGTAATGGATGTAACATTAATTTATAACTGTATAATTCACAATAGAGATTGGCAAGAGACAGTACATACACAAGGCAACTCGATCAATCAAGTTTATTTATAAAGAACAATTCATGCAGTGCAACCCAAAGTGCTTTACACAGACATAAAATCATACACATTTACAAACATTTTAAAACATAAAATAAAAATAAAATAAAAAAGGTTGTAATGAAAAGAAACATTTCACACTAAATGTCAGAAATTAAAACTATAAAAACTCATCATATAAAAGTCAGTCATATGCAGAGCTAAAAAGAACGGCTTTCAGCTTAGACTTAAACAATGCTAAAGATTAACTCAAAGTGCAAATTGTCACAGTACATTAAAAGGAGCAAAGATACAAATCCTTTAGTTGTGTGCACAGCTAAACAGAACTGTTTTGAACCTGGATTTGAACATTGAAAAAAATTTGGAGAATCAGAGAAAACATTTCACTAACTACAGCAGATGAAACAAGCCTAGTTTATAAAGTAATATTTCAAAGGATATTTAGAATAGATAAACATGTGGCATTACTTTGTATCTATCACTACTTGACTATGGCATTCATGAGATATATTTGTCCAAGATTGTCAGCTGGGATTCCAAGACGCTCTTCTGGTTTTTAAAATCTTAAATGGCCGGTCCTCACCACCACTGTCTATTTGTTTAAACAGAGCAACTGAAAGATCTGCTGCTTTTGATACTGTTGTCTCACTGAGAAAAAGTTCCTTTAGTCAATCAGCTTTCTCAGTGTGCGCCGTTCAGTTCTGGAACAAGATACCAGTCACTACAAGAAAGACTTTTAAACGCATGCTAAAAACCAGGTTATTGGACAAACAAGCTGGTAACCATTCATGATTTGTTGAATGCTATTGTTTTATTTTTATTTTTTTACTAGTTATTTTGATATTGTAATGTTTGTATTGTATTTGGCATTTTTACAGCTTGCCTCAGGGACTACAGTTGGAAACTATCTGTGTTGCTTTGATTATTGTGTACCGTCCCTATTCAAATAAACGTATGAATAAAATTAATTGCTATAACATATTTTGATAGCACTAATTATGATATAAAAAGATGATTAGTGAAATAGTCTCAGGTCTGACCACGAAATAGTCTCAGGTCTGACCACGAAATAGTCTCAGGTCTGACCACGAAATAGTCTCAGGTCTGACCACGAAATAGTCTCAGGTCTGACCACGAAATAGTCTCAGGTCTGACCACGAAATAGTCTCAGGTCTGACCACGAAATAGTCTCAAGTCTGACCACGAAATAGTCTCAGGTCTGACCACAAAATAGTCTCAGGTCTGACCACGAAATAGTCTCTGGTCTGACCACAAAATAGTCTCAGGTCTGACCACGAAATAGTCTCAGGTCTGACCACGAAATAGTCTCAGGTCTGACCATGAAATAGTCTCAGGTCTGACCATGAAATAGTCTCAGGTCTGACCACGAAATAGTCTCAGGTCTGACCACCAAATAGTCTCAGGTCTGACCACGAAATAGTCTCAGGTCTGACCACGAAATAGTCTCAGGTCTGACCATGAAATAGTCTCAGGTCTGACCACGAAATAGTCTCAGGTCTGACCACGAAATAGTCTCAGGTCTGACCACGAAATAGTCTCAGGTCTGACCACAAAATAGTCTCAGGTCTGACCACGAAATAGTCTCAGGTCTGACCACGAAATAGTCTCAGGTCTGACCACGAAATAGTCTCAGGTCTGACCACGAAATAGTCTCAGGTCTGACCATGAAATAGTCTCAGGTCTGACCATGAAATAGTCTCAGGTCTGACCACCAAATAGTCTCAGGTCTGACCACCAAATAGTCTCAGGTCTGACCACCAAATAGTCTCAGGTCTGACCATGAAATAGTCTCAGGTCTGACCACGAAATAGTCTCAGGTCTGACCACAAAATAGTCTCAGGTCTGACCACGAAATAGTCTCAGGTCTGACCATGAAATAGTCTCAAGTCTGACCACGAAATAGTCTCAGGTCTGACCACGAAATAGTCTCAGGTCTGACCACAAAATAGTCTCAGGTCTGACCACGAAATAGTTTCAGGCCTGACCACGAAATAGTCTCAGGTCTGACCACAAAATAGTCTCAGGTCTGACCACGAAATAGTTTCAGGCCTGACCACGAAATAGTCTCAGGTCTGACCACAAAATAGTCTCAGGTCTGACCACGAAATAGTCTCAGGTCTGACCACGAAATAGTCTCAGGTCTGACCACGAAATAGTCTCAGGTCTGACCACAAAATAGTCTCAGGTCTGACCACGAAATAGTCTCAGGTCTGACCACGAAATAGTCTCAGGTCTGACCACCAAATAGTCTCAGGTCTGACCACGAAATAGTCTCAGGTCTGACCACGAAATAGTCTCAGGTCTGACCACGAAATAGTCTCAGGTCTGACCACCAAATAGTCTCAGGTCTGACCACGAAATAGTCTCAGGTCTGACCATGAAATAGTTTCAGGCCTGACCACGAAATAGTCTCAGGTCTGACCACGAAATAGTCTCAGGCCTGACCACGAAATAGTCTCAGGTCTGACCACGAAATAGTCTCAGGTCTGACCACGAAATAGTCTCAGGTCTGACCACGAAATAGTCTCAGGCCTGACCACAAATAGTCTCAGGTCTGACCACAAAATAGTCTCAGGTCTGACCACGAAATAGTCTCAGGTCTGACCACGAAATAGTCTCAGGTCTGACCACGAAATAGTCTCAGGTCTGACCACGAAATAGTCTCAGGTCTGACCACGAAATAGTCTCAGGTCTGACCACAAAATAGTCTCAGGTCTGACCACCAAATAGTCTCAGGTCTGACCACGAAATAGTCTCAGGTCTGACCACGAAATAGTCTCAGGTCTGACCACGAAATAGTCTCAGGTCTGACCACGAAATAGTCTCAGGTCTGACCACGAAATAGTCTCAGGTCTGACCACAAAATAGTCTCTGGTCTGACCACGAAATAGTCTCAGGTCTGACCACAAAATAGTCTCAGGTCTGACCACGAAATAGTCTCAGGTCTGACCACGAAATAGTCTCAGGTCTGACCATGAAATAGTCTCAGGTCTGACCACGAAATAGTCTCAGGTCTGGCCATGACAAAGTTGTTACTGGTTCATATCTGTAGTAGTGCAGCCCGTGATGAGTCTAGGATGTGGACGCGCTGGTATATCCATCTTTTGTCTTTTTAACCTGTGTATTCTGTCCTTTTTGTGTCTATGCTGGACCCCGAGTCTGGAATAAAAGCTTAATTCATTCATTCATTCAAGAAGCTGCGGTTTATAGGGTTAGAAAGGTGTTAAAGGGAGACCTGACCAACCTGTTATGAGAAAATTTCCCATTCCTAGTAATACTTTTTTTCTCTTATAACAGGGGTCTTTGATGACTTCGACATGTTGCTTTGAGCCACGATAAATAATTATGTTTATTTACATTTCTTTTACATAATATTATGGTTCATGTGCCTGAACCAAGCAATACATATGATCAGATGATTTAAGTCATTCCTGGTTTTGTGAATATTAAACTCATTCAGTCAAACCATTCATTAAAAATTAAATGTACTGATTGAATTTAACAACTAAACAGCTCATTATGCTCCTCCTGTATAGTCTAAAACATTTTGCATGTTACAAGAGCTAATGAACCATTAGGTCTTGAGCTGGGGAGAGAATAGTGTAGCAAAGGAAGCCGTGGAGAGTGTGGGAGTCTGTATTGTAAGGAGCAGGTCTTGTGGGGGACTGCATTAGGAAAGGGTTGTGTCTTTCTCATGGGACCTGGGACCAACTGCAACCTTGTGGATAATAACGGCCACAAAGGGTCACCTCGGCCCCAGTGGGACAGAGTGGAGGGGAGCAGCAGAGAAAGGACACATGACTCCCAGTACCCCACTGCTCATGCTATTAATTCTAACTGGGAATTATGCAACATTAAGATGATTTTGGCTTCGGGGCTTAAGATGGGGAAAGGAGCAAGTTAATATAGGTAAGAAAAGAAAAGAGACACAGCATTTGGTGGAAGGAATGATGGTGTGTGATGCAGGGCGGTTGTATAAGAGGGTTAATAAAAGTGACAAGTGAGTGTTTGATTCTATCGGAGGCACCATCCCAGACAGGTAACTCACTTAGAGGATTCGCTGAGTGAGGGAGTCAGGCCATCGGAGGGAATCGTCTCTTCAACGTCTGTCTCAATATGAGCCGTAGGCAACATGGGACCCCAGGGTCCAGCTTTCCCATATAAAAGACCACATGAGAGCCAGTACTGCGAGACGCAATATACCGTTAACAGGATTTTCAGAAAAACTTGATTTGACCAGGAAAAAAATTGAAAGTTATTTGCAAATAGTGATTTCCTAAAATTCATACCCCGGGTTAACTTAGGAAAGTCATTCATAAGATTGACTGTTATCTACAAGCTAAATAGATTTGGTTTTACCTGACTCCAGGAAAAGTTATTGAAAAACGCACTTACCTCCTCCCCTGTCTCCTGTTATGGGATGTGAGGGGAGAGCAACTCTGCAGATATTCCTTTTTATTTTCTATTGTATGAAAATAAAATGGCTTTTACAGGTTTCAAGAATTTATATCTACCCAAGTTTCTGGAGACTTCTGGTCAAGTTTAATAATAATTAACACGTCCATAAGTAAAGAAAATACATATTTTTTATGATGTACCTTTTTAAACCTGGGGTACATAATTTTTTTCTTTTTGAATTTTGTGAATTCTGTTTTTTCC